CCACCCTATGTGCCTTCGTTTTGTTCCTTATCGTTTCTCTCCTCCTCCCCTTGCTTCCCTACTCAGTCGCTCCTCATTGTGTCTCCTCTGCCATTTTCTGACTTCCTCCATGCCGCTTGTCCTACGGTCTCTCGTGTTTTGTCTCTTGTCACTCACCCTACAGCTCCTCCTTCATCTGTTTCAGCTCTTGTCGCTACTGCCACTGACTTTGCCTCTAGCCACTACATTTACTGCACCACTTAGTTGGTCTCTGACGATGCACACCCTCTGTCTGTCGAGGGTGAGTTTGCCCTTGGCTGTGACGTCCTAGTGGATAGGCAGTTTGAGCTGACTTTCCTTGCAACCGCTGCTCCCCATCTTTGTGCCATACTGCTAGCTCCTTGTCGTGATCCTAACGCTTATAATCCTCGCACTTACACCGAGGAAGTTTTGGGACGAGTCAGAGATAGCATCTTGGAGGTCCATAGGCACATACATCGACGTAGTTCCCCATCTTGGGGCAAACATAGTTGACGACATCTGGATCTTCAAGGTGAAGCGGTTGCCTGGATCGCCTGTCTTCAAGGCACTGTATGTGACAAGAGGCTTTAGTCAGCAAGAAAAAATATACTTCTTTCATACCTTCTTCCCATCCCCAAGATGGGTACTCTTTGGGTACTGCTGCACGTAGTAGTAGAGAGTGAATACGAGCTTCACTCACTGCACCCTTCCACTGCGTTTCTCCACAGCAACCTCCATGAGCAGATCTGGTTGCACCGCCCACCTAGTTTCACTTGGTTGTTTCCTCCTGGCACCCAGTGGACCCTCCGGCGGCCAGTCTACAGTGTGCATCAGTTGCCTTGCAACGGGCATGACACATAGTGCACTACTGTCAGTACGCTTGGCTTCTGTTTGACTTCCGCTTACCCAACTCTCTTCATCCGTTCAGGCTCCACGCCGTTCTACGTTCTTGTATATGTTGACGACCTCGTCTTTGCTGCGCCTCACAGAGTTGCACTGGGCTTGGTGAAGGCGGAGCTGCAGAGGAGGCACACCTGCACTGACCTGGGTGAGCCCCGTCACTACCTTGGCTTGCAGATTGCTTGGGATAGAGCGGCGCGCACCACTACACCGTCTTAGTCGCACGTGGTGCAGCATATCCTCGAGCGATTCCACTTTTACTACTCATCTCCACATATTATCCTGCTTGCAGTGGAACACAAGCTTACGTCTCCTCATGTTGGCGTGCCTAGTGAGCCTGGTGTTGAATTTGCATAGCTGGTGGGCTGCCTCATGTACTTGATGACCTGTACTCGTCCAAATCTTGCATACCCTCTCAGCGTTCTAGCTCATTTTGTGCACCCAAGAGAAGTCGTCCTATGCACTGGGAGGTCGCTAGGAGGGTTGTGTACCATCTGGCTAGCACATCCGGCATGGGGCTTGATCTTGGAGGAGGGTTGTGTACCATCTGGCGAGCACATTCGGCATGGGGCTTGTTCTTGGAGGGAGATGGCAGTCATCCTCGTTAAGCATAGCGATGCGTTGTGCGAAGACGACCCTCAGTTCTTAAGGTCTTCACAAGGCTATTGCTTTTGTAGAGCTATGTCTTGGAGGTTGAGCATGAACGTAGTCAGCTGCTCTCTCTAGCTATAAGGCTGAGCTCTAGGCCAGGGCCATAGTTGCACAGAATTGCGTTGGCCCACCTTTCTTTATTCACAACAGTTCCAATATCATTTTGTGTCATGAGCCATGACTTGTGGGGCATACGAAGCACGTTGAGCTGCAGCAGTGCGGCCAGACACGCATGGTTAGAGTGGCCTCAAAGCTCAACACCGTTGACATCTTCACCAAGGCACTTCCGTCTTGTGACCATCACCGATTCTATGCTCAACTTGAGCTATTTACTTGTAATTCTCACTTGCTTGTTTCTTAATCACAGGTGCTTGCTCTGCTTGTTGTATCCTTATCATAAATATATATTTATGTATATGTGGTGACATGCTATGTGTTGGGTGCACGCAGGTGGAGTTTCTCCTTGTAATCTATCCCTTGGGTTCTGGGTAGACCTAGTGTGTGGCGTGCCCAAGCGTGAGCGCGGCAGGGGAGTGTTGACGGGAATTGGCCCCGCCCTCGCTTGGGCAAAGTAGAATTTGCAATCGGGGGGGCACGCAAAAGTCGTCGTAGACTATGCGTAGATTTCGACGTCGACCTGCCCGCAGAGTCCAACCTCGACCTACCCGCAGAGTCCGACCTTGACCTACCCGTATAGTTTGACCTCGACGCGTCTGCAGAGGATGTTGGTCGATGCGTCCGCAGAGGACGCGGTCGATGAGGTCGCAGAAGACGCAGTCGCAGAGGTTGCTGGTCAACGAGTCCGTCGAGGAGTTCGGTTCGACGGAACCTGGTTGGTAGAGGAGCTCCTCGACGAGGCCGGTATAGGAGCTCCTATACGAAGCTGGTAGAGGAGCTCCTCTACGAGATCAATCGACAATTACAGCTCGGCGGGCTCGCCTCGGCGAAGGCTGTTCGACGAAGCAGCGTCCAATCACTCAACCGACGCTGTTCAACTGCGAAGGTCGCAGATGTGCGCGAACTTCGCCTCAGGAGGTTTTTGCGAAGTCGACTTGTGGAACGGCATCACATGTTCGACGGTGCACAGCTGGCGAAACTATAGACACGTGTTCTACCTGGCACATGTATTGTGTGCCTGGCAGCGCGACCGTATGCCTGCACCCACTCGTAGGTGTGCACATGCGGAGAAGTTTACCTGCCTCTGCAGCGCTGGCAGTCCGCTGCTCGCTGCCAGACTACTCTGCTGCAGCGTTGGCAAGCCGCTCTTTTGCTGTGCTGGCATAGTTCGCCCTGTAGTTTGCTTGCTAGGTGTTACAATGCCATGCTAGCTATATCTATTTGCATGCCTAATTTGTAATCTAATGTTATCTCAATTTCTTAGTGAAACTCTTGCCAAATTTCCGTATGAACACAACAAGTAGTGAGAACGCCTAGTGCAACGCTACGATCACTCGCAGAACCCCGTGCCTTCCTCCGTAGTCCACTCCCGTTGTATAGTCACTATCCTCACCCTCCTCTACCCCCCCCCCCCCCCCCCTCCCTCCCTTCCTACAATAGGCACAGCATGGAGAGGGAGGAGTAAGCGGGTGGCAGTCTTTACGGTGGCCAATCCTCCCACACCACCTTCCTGGCGGGCTTGTTAGAGCGTTGGCAGGCCTGCTGTCGTGACTTGCTGGCGTGCTCACTGGTATGCTGGCGCGTCTGCTACCATGACTTGCAAGCAAGCTTGTTGGTACGCTGGGCAGGTTTGCTAGCGCATTGGAGGGCTGCTGGTGGGTTTGTCGACGGCCTCGCTGGCATGGTCACGGGTCCCTGGTGCGTTGGCGGGCCATGGGCATGCTCCCCACGGGCCGTTGTCACAGTTATCACGGGCAGAAAGCGACGGGCAGGCGTATATGCAGAGCGCATTACGAGCATCATGATAGAGTAAAAAGGGTTTCTAGAAGGACCTCACTCGCAATGCCATGTCAAAATATGTAAGCTAGGGCTTATGAGGCTATGGGGCATGGTGTTCGTATGAAAGCCAAAAGAGTGTCAGAATCCTAGCCACTAACCACTGGGATAAAATGGCGTATTATTGTAGGGGGTGAGTGCGCCCATAACCCCCAAGGACAACGTGCCTATAACCCTTCCCTATGATCAATCGGAGATCTCTAGTGCACCTCTGACATCTCCCTGTGCTGATATAACATATGATCTTACTGGATAGGATAAGGCTGAGCCAAGTGTGTAGAGTGTCAAACTTATATGCTATAGTCTGTGTAGGCTGTAGTGGGGTAGACTATATGGGGTACAACATTTCTAAGTTTTCCTACTTGTACCCACCCCTTTCCTAGTTGATTCATTCCTCATTCTTTACATGGTATCAGAGCAGGTTCCCTCGTGGGAACGCTTCTCAGGGCCCACCACTGCACTCGGTTTTTTTTCCTGCCCGAGGCGTGCCCTGTCGGCTGCCCTCACGTCACGCTCCCTTAGCGGCCCCTCTCACGGCCCCTTGTGCCCCACCCCTTAGCGGCCCCGTCGCCGCCCTTTGCGGCCCCGTCGCCGCTCCTCTAGGTCCCTCACGGCCCCTTCGCGGCCCCGTCGCCGCCCTTCTAGGCCCCTCGCGGCTCCTTCGCGGCCCCGTCGCCGCCCCTAGCGGCCCCGTCGCCGCCCCTAGCGGCCCTGTTGCCACCCCTCTATTCCCCTCACAACCCCTTCGCAGCCCCGTCGCCGCCCCTCTCGGCCCCGTCACCGCCCCTCTAGGCCCCTCGCGACCCCTCTGAGGCCTCGTCGCCGCCCCTATCGGCCCTGACGCCGCCCCTAGCGGCCCCGTCGCTGCCCTTCGCGGCCCCGTTGCTGCCCTCTAGCGGCCCTGTCGCTGCCCTTCTCGGCCCCTTCAGCCGCCCAGTAGCTGAGCCGCCCAGCAGCCGAGCCGCCCATCAGCTGAGCCACCAAGCCGCCAAGCCGCCAAGCAGCCAAGCCGCCCAGCAGCCGAGCCGCCGAGCCACCGAGCCGCCAAGCTGCCGAGCCGCCCAGCAGCAGAGCCACCGAGCCGCCGAGCCGCCCAACCAAGCCGCCCAGCAGCCAAGCCGCAGAGCCACCGAGCCGCCGAGCCGCACAGCAGCCGAGTCGCCCAGCAGCCAAGCCGCCCAGCCACCGAGCCGCCGTCGAGCCGCTACTGTTCCTACCGACGAGCACCGTCCCTACCCGCCCGACTTGGTGAGAGCACTCCCTACTACACCAGTGCAGTCATGGCTACCCCCAGTATCCTTAACTTTGATGCTGAGGGTCGTGCTGTTGACTTTGAGGTCTGGGCCGATGACCTCCAGCTCTTCCTCTAGTGCGATAGGGCAGACGAACTCTCCCTGTTTGATCTCACCTCTGGTGCTTCTCCTACCCTGCCTGCTACTAGTGACAGCACTGCTCGCTCACAGTGGGCCACACGCGATGCTGCTGCCCGTCTTGCTATGCGTCGCCACTTACCGACCGCTGAGCGTGTGCACTTTAGTCAGTACAAGAGTGCTAAGACCTTGTAGGACGCTGTAGTTGCACGCTACTCTTCCCCTGCCACTGCTGCTCTTACCTGCCTCATGCTACCGTACCTGTTCCCTGACCTTGCTGCCTTTCCCACAATCGCTGACCTCATTACGCACCTTTGCACTAGTGAGACTCGCTACCGCGCTGCGCTTCCTGCTGAGTTCTATGCCAAGAAAACCCCCCCCATGTACATCACCCTCTACTACATAGTCACTCGGCTCCCTGACTCCCTTCGCTTAGTCAGGGACCACTTCCTCTCAGTTTGCCCCACCACACTCACCGTTGACCTCCTAGAGGAGCGCCTCCTAGCGATAGAGAAGAGTATAGTCGCTGTAGGAGCCTCTCGTGGTGACCCTCCCACCCCCGTCTTTGAGGGGTGTTCCCCCTCCCCCCTCTTACCCTTTGTTGCTTCTGCTGCTGCGGCCGACCTCGTTAATTTCGAGTCGGTCGGCGCTGCGTCTGCCCCTAGCGGGAGACGCCGCACCGACAAGGGCAAGGGGGGCAAGGGCGCTGGAGGGGCTGGCGGGGGCGGTGGAGGTGGTGGTGGAGGCAGTGGAGGGGGTGGGGGTGGTGGAGGGAGTGGTGGCGGGGGTGGAGGTGTCGGTGGCAGCAGTGGAGGCGGAGGAGGCGGCGGCGGAGGCGGAGGGAGCGGAGGAGGCGGTGGTGGCGGAGGCGGCGGAGGTGGCGGAGGCGGCGGCGGCAGCGGTGGCGTTGGTCGCGGCTCTACGCAAAGGAGTGGTTCCGGTGGTGGTCCGCGCCAGTAGCAGCAGCGCAGTCGTGAGACCCTGTCCCCTCAACAGCTTTGTGAGTGGTACGCTGGGCGTCAGCGAGGTGGGGAATTGGTCCCTGCACCTACGTCCTCCGTACCAGCGACCGCGCTGGTGAGCAGTGCAGGGGCCCGCACTCCACTCAGCCCTGCTTCGGCCACCTGACGGACGCGTGGCATCACCAGTTCCCTGACGCCACAAAGATCCCTCGCTGGGGAGAGCTGACTAGGGCGGGGGTCGCTATCTTTGATCTTGATTATGATGCTATTCTTGTTGCCATGTATGCTATGTCTAATGGTGATGAGGGTGACTGTTACCTGTGTGTTCCGCCAAACCCGGGCATTGAAGCTACTGTGCTAGGTGCTGGTGAGGCTGCTGCTCTAGTTGCTAGTGCGTCTGCTGCCCCAGGTGCTGGTGAGTCTGCCCTCTCAGGTACCACGTCGGCTCAGGCCTTACACACCTTCACCCTTGACTCACGTGCTTCCCGCTCCTTCTTTTGAGACCGCACCACGCTTACGCCGCTTAGCTAGCCGGTTGCGGTCTCCCTGGTGGACCCCTCTTGGGGTCCTATCCTTGCTAGCTTCTCCACTGTCTTACCATGTCCGGCAGCCCCCTCTGGCACCCTGTCAGGTCTCTACCTCCCCTCGTTCTCTACGAACTTGGTGAGTGGAGCTGATATACAGGATGGGGGGGTTGACCAGTTCACTTCTGCGAGACAGCGGGTGAGCCACTGTACGTGTGCTCGGACGGGCTGACACATGGCCACTTTTACCCGTCGGCCGGAGTCGAGCCTGTACACACTGACTACTGAGTCTCCTCCGGTTGCTGAGTCTGGTCAGGTAGCTGCGTTGAGTCAGGTGTTTGCTGCAGCGTCCAGGTCTGGTCCTGAGTCTGCTCCCTGCTCATGTCGTCTCCTATCCCACCAGACTCTCCTTTGGCACCACCGCCTTGGTCACCCCTCCCTGCCTCGTCTCCGAGGCATGGCCTCCCGTGTCCTTGTCTCTGGTCTGCCCCGGTCCCTCCCTCCCCTCCATCTGGGGCCTGCCCCTACCTGCGTTCCCTGCGTCGAGGGGCGGAAGCGCGCCGCCCCTCACTCCTCCGAGTTTCCTCCGACAGAGGCTCCGCTGCAGACTCTTCACATGGACCTGTGGGGCCCCGCACGCGTCCGTGGCTAGGGTCACGAGCGTTACTTCCTGTTGGTGGTTGACGACTACTCTCGTTACACCATGGTGTTCCCCTTGCGCAGCAAGGGTGACGTCACTGAGGTGTTGGTCGACTAGATCCGCGCAGCTCGTCTCTAGCTCCGAGAGAGTTCCGGCTCGGACTTTCCTGTCCCGCGTCCGCACTCTGATAGAGGCGGGGATTTTTCCTCTGCCCGTCTGGGAGCCTTCTGTCATGCACAGGGCATCCGCCAGACCTTCACGCTTCCGGCCTCTCCACAGCAAAATGGGATTGCTGAGCGCCGCATTGGCATGGTCATGGACGTCGCTCGTACGTCCATGATCCATGCGACCGCCCCCCATTTTATGTGGCCGTTTGCAGTTCAGTAGGTAGCGCACCAGCTCAGCCTTCAGCCCCAAGTCTCCTTGCTAGAGACCTCCCCCACCTTGCGGTGGACGGAGAAGGTTGGCGATGCGTCTGCGTTTCGTGTCTGGGGATCTCGGGCGTTTGTCCGCGACTTGTCCGCGGACAAGCTGTCCCCCCCGTGCTGTTCCCTGCATCTTCGTTGGATTCCCCCCTGACGTGCCTGGGTGGCAGTTTTACCACCCCACCTCGCGCCGTGTTCTATCCTCCCAGGACGTCACCTTTGACGAGTCGGTGCCTTACTACCGTCTCTTCCCCTACCGCACTGCGCCCCTCCCCCCGCCGCCGCTCTTCCTTGCACCAGGTCCTCCCTCGGTAGACCCCCTCCCCCCTCAGGGTCCTGCCCCGTCGGGTGTGTCCCAGGTAGACGCAGTCGAGCTTGTCGAGGTAGCTGTTGACTCTGGTGCTGCTGGAGGTGCTGAGCCTGCGGGTGCCGGGTCTGGGGGTGTTGAGCCTGGGGGTGCGGAACCTGGGGGTGCTGAGTCTAGGGATGCTGAGCCTAGGGGTGTTGAGTCTGGGTGTGCTGAGTCTGGGGGTGCTGAGCCTGGGGGTACTGAGCCTGGGGGTGCGGAGCCTGGGGGTGTTGGGTCTGCTCGTGTGGCTTCTCGCAGTGCTTCGTCGAGGCGGGAGCTACTCTCTCCGTAGGAGCTGCGCAAGTGGTTTGCCCAGCGCTGGAGCCGTGCTACTAGAGCTGGAGGTGCTACTGTTGCTGCTGGTCCTGGAGGTGCTCGTCCTAACGGTACTGGAGCTGCTCGGACTTGGGGTGCTGCTGGAATTGCTTCTGCTGGGCGTACTACTATAGCTGCTGGCGTTACTGGAGCTGCCGGTCCTGCTGGAGTAGGTGCTGCTGGAGCTGCTAGAGCTGGAGCTGCTGGGGGTGTTGGCACTAGAGGTACTACTGGCGCTCGTGCTTCTGAGGGTGCTGGAGCTGGCGCTATTGGAGCTGGAGGTGCTGCTGGCGCTGATGCTTCTGAGGGTGCTCGAGTTGGCGCTGTTGGAGGTGGAGGTGCTACTGGCGCCGGTACTGCCACTTGGGTTACTGGCACTGTTCTTGCTGGTTCTGGAGGCGCTGCTCGGCCGCGGCCGTACTTCGTTCCGCTCCTTGAGCATGTTCTTTGTCTCCCGCCCTCTACTAGTCCTGCTCCTTCCTTAGCGTGTCCACCGCGTGTCCAGTCTAAGTCACTGTTGCAACCCGCCTCCCCCCTACCTGCTCCTCCCTACACTGGTCTTACTGGAGGTCTTGCTGAGCATCGTGAGCCTGCGTCTCGTCCTCCCTCGCTTGTTCGTGCTACTTGCACTAGTGGTCGTGCTCCGCGTCCGCGTCCTCCTGCGGTCCCAGGCACACACCAGATGGCACTGCGTTCTTCTACTGCTCCTCTGCGTGTCCCGTTGCCATCTCCTCCAGAGTCCTCTCTTTGTGTTCTTGCTGATCCCGGAGTCTGACTCTCTTCGTGCTGCCATTCCTACTGTCACGCATCTCTTGGCCACTGTTGTCACTGACCCTTCCTTTGAGTCCACTTCTGCGTCTGCCTTAGTTGCTAAACTTGTCGACTTTGCTACTCGCGATCGTCTAGACTATGCAACTAGTCTCGTTGCTGAGTCTGAGTTTGTCTATCCTCCGTCCGTCGAGGGTGAGTGTGCTCTTAGCACGGACATCCTTGAGGACAGGCAAGAGGAGTTCAAGTGTTTTACTACTGCTTTGCCTCATCTCGTGTCCTCGCTGATTGCCCCTGAGGGAGACCTGGATGCACTAGACATCCCGACTCCTCGATCGTACGCTGAGGCGATCGAGGGTCCCTACTCCTCTCAATGGCAGGCAGCCATGGACGCAGAGATGGCTTCGTGGAAGTCCACAGGCACCTACGTCGACGAGGTTCCCCCACCTGGGGCGAACATCATCAGTGGCATGTGGATTTTTAGGGTGAAACAGCCGCCAGGTTCTCTGCCTATCTTCAAGGCGCGTTACGTGGCTCGAGGCTTCAGTCAGCGGCAGGGAGTTGACTACTTTCATACCTTCCCTCCCACCCTGAAGATGACCACTCTTCGGGTGCTACTGCACATAGCCGCTCAGCGCGACTACGAGCTTCACTCTCTTGACTTCAACACTGCTTTCCTAGAGGGCAGCCTTCACGAGGAGATCTGGCTACGCCGCCCACCTGGCTTCACTGGGTCGTTTCCTCCTGGTACCCAGTGGTGCCTCCGGCGGTTGGTCTATGGTCTCCGCCAGGCGCCCCGTGAGTGGCGCGACACACTAAAGACTACACTTGCGGCTCTTGGGTTTGCTCCTTCTACTGCCGACCCGTCGCTGTTGCTGCGCACCGACACCTCTTTGCCGCCGTTCTACGTCCTCATGTACGTCGACGACTTGGTCTTCGCCACTGTTGACACTGCTGGACTAGCCCACGTGAAGTCCGAGCTGTAGAAGAGACACAAGTGCACAGACCTGGGTGAACTGCGAAGTTACCTTGGCTTGCAGATCACCGAGGACAGAGCACAGTGCACCATTACCCTAACTCAGTCACACATGGTGCAGTAGGTCCTTCAGCGCTTCGACTTCACGTACTCCTCGCCTCACGCCACTCCTCTATCTACTCGTCTCTTGCTCTCAGCTCTGCCGTAGAAATGAGTGGCCCGTAGAACCGAGTGGCCCGTACCCAGCTTGTTGGCTACCTCATGTACTTGATGACCTGCACACGACCTGACCTTGCATACCCTCTTAGCATCTTGGCACGCTATGTTGCTCCTGGGAGACACCGACCTGTGCACATGGCTGTAGCGAAGAGGGTGTTGCGCTACTTGTGCAGTACGTCGGGCATGGGGCTAGTGCTTGGAGGGCGAAGTCAAGTGGTCCTCACGGGTCACGCAGATGCTTCTTGGGCTGACGACCAGGCTACGCAGCGATCGTCATAGGGTTACACCTTCAGCCTTGGCTCCGGCTCTTTTTCGTGGCGGTCTACCCGCTCGTCTTCTGTTCTCAACTCCAGCTGTGAGGCTGAGATCTACGCAGGGGGCCATGGCTGCACAGAAGCTACGCTGGCTCACCTACCTGCTGACTGACCTAAGAGAGCCGCTTTGTTCTCCTCCAGTTCTGTACATGCTCAACAAGGCCATGCTGGCCTTGTGTCGGGAGCACAGACTAGAGCACAGAACGAAGCACATTGCTCTTCGCTACTTCCTTGCTCGTGAGCTGCAGCCGCATGGTTAGCTGCGCCTTGCTTACGTGGCCTCTGAGGGCAACACTGTTGATATCTTAAGCAAGGCACTTCCGCCTGGTGATCATCAGCGCTTCTGTACGATGCTAGGTCTTGTGCCTACTTGGCCTCACTTGCTCACTTCTTTACCTTGCTTGTACTCTGATCTTTCTTTACCTACACTTGCTTGATTACCTTTATATATGATCTTGCATGTGAACTGGCTTTGTGGCCTTGCTCTTGTGCTCGGAACGTGTGGTGACGTTGTGATCCACCCTGAGCTTTGCTTTGCTTTGCTTGACTGGTGTTGTGACCTCTTGTTCTCCCCCACTTTGCCTATGGGGGTGTGTCAAACTCATATGCTATAGTGTGTGTAGGCTGTAGTGGGGTAGACTATATGGGGTACAACATTTCTTGGTTTTTCTACCTGTACCTGTGAAAGTTTAGAAGAAAGAAGAGGGTTGCACTAGCAAGAATGAGGATACAAATAGCAAACCCTATAAGTGTTGTACTCGCTATAGAGCACCCCACTACAGGCTATAGCATAATATTCAGACAGTACCCACCCCTTTCCTAGTTGATTCATTCCTCATTCTTTACATAGATAAAGCAACGAAATCTTGGAACGAAATTGTTAATAATAATTGAGAGAGAGCAAGATGATTAAGATAGAGATACAAAGGGTTTAAATAGTAATCCTATCTAGCCACGTACTCCTAGGGGTACATTCCCTGTATAGCATTGCTACAGTAATTGTGTCTTTTGCTATATTCGACAGTTACCACGTTGTAGCGTGTAACCTGCGATTACAGTTGCGGGTTGGACAACAGTCGCAACTGTTGAATTTATGAGACGGTTGACCTTCGCGTGACTCTTCACCATTGTGTGCTCCATATGAACTAGCGTGGTAGTAATACAGGTGCACTGCTTTGCTATGACGCGGTGCGGTAAGGGAGGACCTATGGAATGTTAAAATAACCTGTCGGTTATTCCAAAACCCCTCGCTAGAATGTATGAGTTGCATACTGTGATTCGAACCCGATTCCTTTGCTATAATACAATGGTAGAATCTGAGCCACTAACCATTGTGATGAAATGGCTTGTTAGGGTAGTGGGTGAGTGCGCCCATAACCCCTTAGGACAACGTGCTTATAACCCATCCTTAGGATTTATATGGGATCTCAAGTGCACCGCCCGCACGCAAATAATCCCAAGCTCCAGGACCGTAGCGACCTCGCTGAATAACCCACTCACGAAGCTGCTGTGGCGATAGAGTGTCTAGGTGAGGTAGTGGCTGCTGCTGTCCACCCCTAGACGCTGCTACGACCGTGATAGTGGCCATGATAGGCAGTGGCAGTCAGTTGGCAGCAGCTGCAGCTTAGGTGGCAGCAGCAGCACAGCAGCAAGCCTAAGGGCACGGCGGTGCACGGGCCTAAGGGCAAAGCAGCGCAACGCGCGGGCTGCAGGGCAGGGCGACGCACGGGCCTAAGGGCAGGGCAGCACAGCTCGTGGGCCGCAGGGCAGGCCAACGCGCAGGCCTAAGGTCAGGGCGGGTTGCATGGGAGGGCACCGCGCAGGCCTAAGGGCAGGGCGGACTGCAGGGGCGAGCGCGGGGCTGCAGGGGTGAGCGCAACTGCAGGGGCGAGCGCGGGCTATAGGGGCGAGCACGGCTCCAGGGACGAGCGTGCGCTGGAGGGGTTAGCGCAGGCTGCAGGGGCGAGCGCGGCTGCAGGGGCGAGCGCGGGCTACAGAGGCGAGCGCGGGCTACAGAGGCGAGCGCGGCTGCAGGGGCGAGAGCGGGCTGCAGGGGCGAGCACGGCTGCAGGGGCGAGCGCGGGCTGCAGGGGCGAGCGCGGCTGCAGGGGGCGAGCGCGGCTGCAGGGGAGAGTGCAAGCTGCAGGGGCGAGCGCAGGCTGCAGGGGTGAGCACGACTGCAGGGGCGAGCACGGGCTGCAGGGGCAAGCGCGACTGCAGGGGCGAGCGCATGTTGCAGGGGTGAGCGCGGGCTGTGGGGGCGAATGCGAGCTGCAGTGGTAAGCGCGGGCAAGGGGGCGAGCGCAGCTGCAGGGGCGAGTGCGGGCTGCAGAGGCGAGCACGGGCTGTAGGGCAGGGGGGCGCATGGGCCTAAGGGCAGGGCAGCGCAGCTCGTTGGCTTCAGTGCAAGGCTGCGTGCGGGCTGCAGCACAGGGCTGCGCGCGGGGCCTAAGGGCAGGGCGGAAAAAAATTACGGGCAGGGCAGAGCGGAACGTTCGGTGGGCCTTAGGAACGATCATGCTTTGAAACCATGTTAAAGTAGGAAGACATGATTGATGAATGCATAGCAATAGGGAGACACAAGTATGATACCCTAACCGGAGTTGTACCATATACTGAGCACCTCAATGTAGCCTAGCACAATTAAGAATATACAAATATATTTTGACACAAGAACGTCACACAAACTACACTAGCTTGCATATAGACAATTCTAATAATTTATAATATATGTATATTTCTGACAGCATTTACTATGTATAGAGCACCCTCAAATGATAATGCAAACTATATTTATCGTAAATCGAGCAAACAACAACGCCGGGCACACCTGATAATAAAACACGTCAAGAATCAGATTTATGTGGATGCCGTTGTACGAGATTATAGTTTTTAATCTATGCATGGTGAACGAGGCGGTGCGGACGACTGTGAATCTATAATATGTTTAATGTGAATTAGGTTACTGTTGGCCCTCTTTGAGTGCGCGACCGATCGATGCGTTAGGAGGGGACGTGCCCTAGTGCTAAGCACTAAGTATACTTATGGCCCTTATCATAATGTATTTCAAGGGTTTCACAGCTGACCTGGTCCAGCGCGGATCGTATCGAGTCTCTCCTTGACTTAGGAATGTTATTGTAAAACGAACAATCGAAGTCAATGGGACTCTACGTGCGCTTGACGGTCATAAGCACAACCCCTTTCAGCGATTGGCCTACAGCTACTTTGATCCGTACGATTCCAACCAGAGCTACCGAACCATCTGTCACAACAAGCACTTATCCAACCATGATGGAATTCTGCGTGTGCCTCATCGCACGGCATCCGATAGAAGAACACAACCGAGCCGGGCTTCCTGGCTCGCGAGTCACTCCCTTCAGCCCACGCAAAATTCAAATCCGCATATTCACGGGTGCACTTGCTTGTGGGGGCGGCTCGATTATCGCGACTCGGCATGCTCCAACACAAGCACCCGCGTGGATGCACGATCACGGACTGACCTGCCTTCGTCACTACCACCAGCACAACCCTTGCAACATAAAAGAGCTAGTTGTGGCTGCTTTCCCAGAGAAAGTCCACGCAATTCACTCAGTACCACTATCACCGAGGCACACCATGGGTCGCGCTAATCGCTGTACGCTCGCTCTATTTGCCGTCCTTGCTTTAGCCTACATTGCCAATGCAGCCGTTGCTCCTACTCCCACGGCCACAGCAGGCCCCAAGTGCAAGAACGCGTTTCCCTCAGAGACCGCTGTGCAAGTTCGTTGACAGTTTGACCACACGCGTTATCCCCACCCTCGATGGCACCAGGCCGCTCACCATTGGCGCCTATCAGATCTACCAGGTAACTCTCTCCTGCACCCATTACAACAAACGACTACCTCTGGCATGTTATTCCCAAGATTCTGCTCTTTTCATGACGAGAACGCAGAATGCGCCCCGCCGGCTGACTCTAAGTTCTCCCTTGTTCACGTGGCAGAAATTCCATCGCGATCTGCCGGCGACGAAGCAGTACGCGTACGGCACGAGTCAGAAGACGGCGTCGTACCCCGGCCCCACCATCGTGGCCAAGGTGGGCATCGACACGACGGTGACGTGGGAGAACCATCTGCTCGACAACACGCACATGTTCACCGTCGATCGCACCATCATGATGGGCGTCAAAGTCCCCAAGAAGGGCATTCCCATCGGTAAGAGCGTGACCCAGAATGGGTGAAGTAACTCTCCTTCCGTATATACTTTTCGCGTTCGTGTCGCGCGCTCGCAATAGTACTCCGTTCGCGCATCCGGTCTGACTCTTCTTTCTCTTCCCTATTGGCCCTGCAGTTGTGCATCGCCACGGCGGCTCCCAGCAGAGCTACTACGACGGCCACCCTCTCGCGTGGTTCACGCAGTACGGCGAGAAAGGCCCGACCTTCTTTAACAGCACGTTCAAGTATGTGAACGACGAGGCGTCGACCATATGGTACCACGACCACATGGTAGGCATGACGCGCCTCAACGTCGCCGCCGGTCTCGCGGGGCTGTACATTATCACGGACCCCAAGCTCGAGTCCAAGTTCACTTGGCTGCCGCCCGCCTCCCGAACCGTCCCGCTCGCCATCGCGGATCGGCTGTTCTTCGCCAACGGCTCGGTGAACTACCCGAACGTGGGCATTGTGCCGAATGTGCACCCCAACTGGATTCCCGAGTACCTCGGCGACACCAACATGGTCAACGGCGTCGTTTGGCCGTACCTCAAGGTCCGGCCTGCGGTGTACCGGTTCAAGATGCTGGGTGCGGCGAACGCGCGTTTCTACAATCTGCAGTTCGTTTGCGCACAGCGCGGCGACTACCCCAACTTCGTGCCGCCGCTCAAGGGCCAGGTTCTCGACATCGTCAGCGTAAGTAGAAATACTGACTACGCTCGTCACATTGCGACCCGGATTTCCTAAGCAAGCACGTGCTAACACGTTCCCTTCCAACGCGCAGATTGCCACCGACGGAGGCTATTTGGGGAAGCCGGTAACCTCCAAGTCGGTGCTGCTCATTCCGGGCGCTCGCCAGGACGTGTTGGTTGACTTCTCCAGCCTGCCCGCCACGTGCAAGGACGTGATTCTGCAGAACACCGCGTCCGCGCCTTTCCCCGCTGGTGTGACGGCTGACCGCGACACCGGGCTTGTCATGCGCTTCGTCATCACTAACAAAAAGCGCATCCCCGGCGCGAAAGTCCCCAGCTCCATCGTGGTACATACACGGAACCCATACGTTTTCATATCTTACCGTGGCTGTTCTCGTATATTTGAAAACCACCGGTACAGGTCTTCACCGTGATCTTTTCCCCCTCCACGTTCTCGCATGGCAGGGCATGCCGCCGATCGACTTCAAGAATGTCGCCAAGGTTCGCTGGCACCGGCTGGTGGAGGAGATGGACCCCAAGACGAACCTGCCCGTCCGCGTCACCATCGACAACCTCGGCTTCATGGACCCCCCCAGAGACTTTCCCAAGCAGGTCAGCGCTACCACCTGCTGTCAGCACAACCACGCACCCCTGTTTGTGATTTCTGAGTCGATTGCTGCACACTCCGAGGCTTGATATTCCCTTCCGTCGCCTTTTCATCCGCTTCCCCGGCAGGGCACGAACGAGCTGTGGCACATCATCAACCTGTCGGCCGACGCGCACCCCATGCACTTCCACCTCATCGACCACCGCCCCATCTCCCGCCGCCCCTTCAACGTCGCCGCGTTCCAGTCCGGCAAGTGCGCGTTCCGTGGCAACAAGCTCCCGCGCTGCTGGACGGGCCCGCGGGTTCGCATCGACCCCACTGAGAACGGGTGGAAGGACACCACCACGGCGTACCCCGGTCAGGTGCTGACGCTCTTGTTCCCCTGGATGGATAGTATGGGCAAGGCTTTCCCGTTCGACGTGTCTGCTGGCCCTGGCTACGTGTACCATTGCCACATGCTGGATCACGAGGATAACGACATGATGCGGCCGTTCAAGGTGATCAAGTGACGGTGATGTGCTCGTAGATTAACTCACTGACGAGTTGCATTTGCAGGGCTTAGGTTGGTTAGGCGCCATTGGAGAGCTGATTTAGATTACTTGGTTTATCCGGGAGGCATGCTACCGTAGTTAGTAGGGAAACTAGTTCCGCCGTGGTGGCTGGTGATGGCATGTGCAAGCCTTACCCATTCTAGGAAATCCATGTCAGCCGCATTTCTGCCTGCATTGGTGGGGAAGGGCCTAGGAGATGTATTACCTTGGTAATAACCATCCCCTTTTTGAGCTTGACCGAACTTTAGGTTGATGGGAGGTTTGCACAGACAAGTACGACTTTTATCTGAGATGCACATCAGCATGTGGTGGAACAAGCAATTGGCATTCCAGAGGAGGTGTTATGCTCTCAGAGCCCAACAACCGGACCTGCGACAGGCATTCGGTGTCTGCTCCACCAACCAACCATAGGCGCTTCGAAACTATGCGATCAGCAGTGCGAGGCTGCGTCGTCGTACCTGTGCGAATTCACGGAATGTACACATTTCGAATCGCCTAGAGCTGCCATCGATTTCTCCATTGCACAGCCAGCTAGCAAGCAGCACACACGCACACCGCCATGAACGTTGATGGCCCAACTTGGGAATAAGTGGGTTGTTTGAAGCTTTTCTTGGTTCTTGTTCACCAATATTCCTGATTCCCGAGAGCTGTCAAACTAATGGATACGTGTCGTCGTTTAGGAGTCTTGAATTAACAATGTTGAGAATCCGCGATAGGTATCTGACATTTCTGTCTAGTCAAAACAAGGAAGGGTGCTCATTTATATCCTCTTTTGTCGCAGGAGCTAGTGCCGCATCTTAGTGGCCCACTTACATTGAGAAAGCACTTCTTAATCGCCATCTTATATTATTCCCTGTCTTCAAGCCATACTGCCTTCCCCGCCCTCCCCTCGTCTCGTCGTCCTCTCATTCAAAAAGGCTTCTTCGCCGAGTTTGCTTCACCGTTGTCAACCGGTCCTCACCATGAGGCAACCTTCCATACTATCCCTGTCAAGGCCGCGGTCGATATCGGCGCGCTGTGACCGCGTTTTCTTGCCGCTACGTGCGTTGCTCCGCGCGGCATTGCTCGTCCTGCTCTTCGCCTCAGCAACTTCCGCCTTCAAAGTCACCCCGCTCGCGAGGCCCGTCTACGTCGCACCGTCACAACGTAACGACCCGTTCCCACCGCACGCCATTGATACCACGTTTTGAGACGTCTCACAAACACAATTCAACGACCCGTTCTCTCACTGCTCGTTATTGAGACCCACGCACGCGCACTGCCGGTGATAGGTCAAACCTCCTGCTACCCACCTTTGTACTACTCACTGCACCCTCGTTTCCAATTCCACCGCACTCCGCACTGCACTGATGCATCTCCCCTTCCTTTCCGCCGCCTCCCCCTGGTTCCCGCACGGATGGAGCTGCGCCCAGTGTGGGATAGCTTCATGGACCTGCGGTCGTGGAACGTGTTTTGAGACGTCTCAAAACAAGCTGCGCCCAGTGTGGGATAACTTCATGGACCTGCGGTCGTGGAACGGCAACAACCTCTTCGTCCCCTTCCCACCCCGCTTCTCCCCTCACCCTTCGTTTCCTCGTGCTCCGTCCTCTTCCCCTACTCCCCCTTCCCCCCACCTTCCCCCCACACCCCCCAGTCCCCGCGCCGATGGAGCTACGGGCAGCATGGGGCACCTGAATGGACCTGCGGTCGTGGAACGGCAGCAACCTCTCTCCTCCCCTCCCCACCCTCCCTCCTCATACTCGCAGTCCCCGCGCTGATGGAGCTGCGCGCAGCATGGGGCAGCTACATGGACCTGCGGTCGTGGAACGGCAGCAACCTCTCTCGCCCCCCCCTCCCTCTCTTTACCTTCCTTCCGCGTGCTCCTTCCGCCTTCCCCCAGCCCAGTCCCCGCGCTGATGGAGCTACGGGCAGCATGGGGCAGCTACATGGACCTGCGGTCGTGGAACGGCAGCAACCTCTCTCGCCCCCCCCTCCCTCTCTTTACCTTCCTTCCGCGTGCTCCTTCCGCCTTCCCCAGCCCAGTCCCCGCGCTGATGGAGCTACGGGCAGCATGGGGCAGCTACATGGACCTGCGGTCGTGGAACGGCAGCAACCCGTGCAGCCGCTGGTGGCTCGTCACGTGTTGGAGCAACGGGCTGCTGCGCCGCATGGACGTGAGCTCTAAAGGCATCAAGGGCACGCTGCCGTCCGTGCTTGGAAATCTCACCTCGCTGGAAGAACTGTAAGTGCCCCCCCTCATGCTTCTCCCCTCCTCCCTCTCACCCCATAAGGCTCGTCACGTGTTGGAGCAACGGGCTGCTGCGTCGCATGGACGTGAGCTCCAAGGGCACGCTGCCGTCCGTCATCGGCAATCTAACCAGCCTGGAAGAGTTGTAAGCGTGCGCCCCTCCACAGCCCCTCCCTTCTCTCTCTCTCCCTCCCCTTGTCACGTGTTGGAGCAACGGGCTGCTGCGTCGCATGGACGTGAGCTCCAAAGGCATCAAGGGCACGCTGCCGACCGTGCTGGGGAACCTCACCTCGCTGGATGAGCTGCAAGAGTGCTGGCTTCCACAGCTCCCCTTTTCTCCCTGCCCTCCCCCTCCCCCTCTCTCTCTTCGTGAGCCCCACATGGACGTGAGAGCTCCGAAAACCAATCGTTGCCTCGCTTCCGACCGCACCGCGCACGGCAGTTTAGCATCCACTCCACATCCTATGGGCAGGCGCCGCTCTGTCTCCCTTGGGATTGCCATGATCGTTCTGTCCCCTCCGCTGTGTCCTGGCTGCTCCATCCTCGTGAAGTGAGGGTGGTTTTGAGACGTCTCAAAAACACCCCCACTTCACGTGGCCTCCGCTGTGTCCTGGCTGCTCCATCCATCCCCGCCCCTCGCCTCCCAAACCCCCACCAGCATCGCGACCACGAATTGGATCCACGGAGACATCCCCAACTCCTTCAGCAACCTCGTCAACCTCAAGAACCTGTCAGTGCCCCCTCACCACCTCTCACCCGCCTCTCACCGCCTCTCACCGCCTCTCACCGCCTCTCACCGCCTCTCACCGCCTCTCAACGCCTCTCACTGCCACTGCACCCCTTGACTCACTGTTGCCCGCCCACTGCCAGCCCACTGCCAACTGCGCGCCACAATGCTGTAAACCGTTTGCTCCCTTACACGGCTCTAGAGCCTCTCCCTCGCCTCCCATCACTCGCACTGCCTCTCTCTCCCGCTTCATTTCCCTGTTCTCTGCGCCTTTCCCTCCCTTCCAGCCTGCCTTGTGATATGCTCACCTCTCTCTCACTCGCAACATCTCTACGTGTATGAAGATTGGTTTTCAGACGTCTCAAAACCAATCTTATCTGCGCCTTTCCCTCCCTTCCAGCTTGCCTCGTGATATGCTCACCTCTCACTCGCAACATCTCTCCCCCCACCCTCCCCCCTCCCCTCCCCTCCCTCCCCCCCTGCAGGCAGCTGTTCAAGAACTACCTCAACGGCACCATCCCGCCCTCCATGGGGCAACATGCGCACCTCTCACCACTCCCTCTCACTTCGCTCTCTTATTCCATCTCCCCTCGCCCCCGCCCCCACACCCGTCCCCCTGCAGGCAGCTGTTCAAGAACTACCTCAACGGCACCATCCCGCCCTCCATGGGCAACATGAGGAGCCTGTACCAGCTGTGAGTGTGTGCCTGTGAGTGTGGCGAGGGGAGTGGTGGCTGTGAGTGTGGAGGGAGTAACAGTTGCGACCGGAGTGGGAATGCAATAGACACATGGCGACGGCCCCCGCCCCTCATTCTGAGACGTCTCAAAACTCGTGGGAATGCAGTGGCGACATGGTGACGGCAGCAAGTTTAACGGTCTAACCCTCCACTCTCCATTGCTCAACTCGTCCAACCCATGGTTATTGGCAGTAGAGTATTCTGCTCCAACGTGCTGCTCCCCTGCTGCCGTTCCATTTAAACCCCTTCCCACCCCTCTCGCTTCTCTCATTCCTCCCGTTTTTCCACCACCCTTCGCACCTCACCCTTCTCAGCCGTTTTAAACCCCTCTGTAATGCACCTCACCCTTTGCAGCCACCTGAACCTCAACTACCTCGCGGGAGGCATTCCAGATTCATTCTCCCAGCTCACTGGCATGCGCAAATTGTGAGTCACAATTTTGTGAGTCACCAGTAGCTCACAGCCACCTCACATCCACCTCACATCCACCACACATCCACCTCACAGCCACCTCACATCCACCTCTCATCCACCTCACATCCACCTCACAGCCACCTCACAGCCACCTCACATCCACCTCACATCCACCTCACATCCACCTCTCATCCACCTCACATCCACCTCACATCCACCTCACAGCCACCTCACATCCGCCTCACAGCCACCTCACAGCCACCTCACGGGAGGCATACCAGATTCGTTCTCCCAGCTCACTGGCATGCGCAAATTGTGAGTGTGCTACCTTCCCCTCCCTCCAACTGCTTTACCAGTCCAAAAATCCTAGGTACGTCTCCCAGCTCACCACCCTGCTCAAATTGGGAGTCGTGCCTTGCCTTGCTTGCGGCCGTGCCAGGAACGCGTTTCAAAAGCTCCTGACGCATCTCAAAGCCTCTCCACTCCCGCCACTCCCCCTTCCCCCTTCCCCCTTCCCCTTCTCCCTCTCACCTTCTGCTTCACCTCTTCCCTCATTCTTCCTTCCACTCCCCCATTCTCACCACCCCCCTCCCCCCCCAAATCAGCTATGTGTCAAGCAACCTGCTGTCAGGCCCCTTCCCTCCTGTCCTTTGCAACATGACGACCCTCTGGGAGCTGTAAGCACTCTTCTCTCGATACCTGCCCTGCACTGGGCGCTGATGTGCGCTTCTGTGCGGTGATGTGCTATGCTGCGCGCTGCTGTGAACTGCCAGATGGCTCAAGGCCCCGTTCCCACTGTGCTCTGGTCTGCACCATGACGTGCATATGAGCGGCGCGAGTGCTGCCTTGGCTCAAGTGATTTGCATCTGAGCGCGGTATTGTGGAAATCAACATGTGGGAATAAAGAAATGATTCATTATCACTGTTATGGAAACAAAATGCTTTTCTGTTGCCTGCGCATGCCCGTCCCTCCCCCTCTCATCCCCCTTCCCTTCTTCACTGCGCCCTTTCACTACAGGCGCATCAGCTACAATCACTTCTCTGGCACCGTCCCTGAGTGCATCAGCAATCTCAAGAACGCATACTACCTGTGAGTGCTATGCTAAGTTTCAGACATGTCTCAGTGAGCTATGCTAAGTTCTAGACATGTCTGAAACTGTCCCCGAGTGCATCAGCAATCTCAAGAACGCATACTACCTGTGAGCTTTAACTAGCATATGGGGCCGGGCCGGTAAGTTGCACTGCACCGATTCGCCTGTCCCTCCCGCTCCCCTCCATGCTTATTAGTTATTACCTGCAACTAGCACCCCTGCTTCTCCCCTCCACGCCCACTACCCTTACTGCACGGTCCCTCCCCTCCCAGTCAGACTCGCCCCTATTGTTCATACAGTCCAGGGCTTATGCTCCCGCGTGCCTTTCTCCTTGGCACTGGTTCCATCCCCTTCATCAAATCTCCTCTCCCCTCCTGCGTGCTCCTCCCCCTGCGTGCTCCTCCCCCCTGCGTGCTCCTCCCCCTGCGTGCTCCTCCCCCTGCGTGCTCCTCCCCCTGCGTGCTCCTCCCCCTGCGCCCCCCTGCGTGCGCCTTCCCTCTCTCCCCCTGTCCCCTCGTACCCCGGGCCTCTCCTCTCTTCCCCATGCCCACCCACCTGCGTCCTCTCCCCTCCCGGCCCTCCGCAGCTACATAGACACCAACTGGTTCACCGCACTCTCCCCAGCACCATAGGCAATTTGCCCCTGCTGCAGAACCTGTACGTGTGATGTGCTCTTCATGTGCCATGTGCTCTTCATGTGCCATGTGCTCTTCATGCCATGCTTGGCGAAACAAAATCAGTTCTGAGTCGCCTCAAAACAGCTTTACTCTGGGTGAGGTGAAAAGCATGGATTTTGAGAATTCTAAAACGCCAGCTCAAAGCAAAGGGCCTCTTGTAGCAGAGCACTGAGCCTTATGTGTTTACCTGGAGGGGGGGTGGGGCGTTCCTAGACGGAGGGAGGTTGTCTGTGGGTGCATTCCTGAGTTGGTGGCAGGGCAACTGTTGGTGGCAAGCGCATTTTCCGGCCCACTGAATTTTTGGGTACACTTGCCACCAACTCGATGTGAACAGTTGCCCTGCCACCAACCAGGAATGCACCCTGTGCCTTCTGCAACACAACACCTTTGGCCAGGATGCTGCACGGTGCTTTTGAGACTTCTCAAAAACACCGTGCGTTTCTAGAGGGAGGGTTGTTGTCTTGTCTGTGCCTTGTGCAAGGACGTTGTTTGAGTCGCCTCAAGGACGTTGTTTGAGTCGCCTCAAGGACGTGGTTTGAGTCGCCTCAAGGACGTTGGGGCCTTTCCCTGCTGCCCACACGTGTTTCCCTCACCTCACCTGGTTCCTGCCGTCCCCCCTCCCCCCCCTGCCTCTCCCCGCGTCACCTTCTCCCCTCCCCGTATCACTCGTGCCGGGCAGGTTCATCAATCAGAACAGTCTGCAAGGCCCTCTGCCCGCCACCATCACCTCCCTCACCAGCCTGCGCATCCTGTCAGCCTCCCGCCCTCCCGTGCCCACTCTCTGCCCCTGCTGTTCTCTCCGCCCTCTTCCCTCTCTGCCCACTGCCCGCCACCATCACCCCCCTCACCAACCTCCGCATCCTGTCATTCAACCTCTCTCTCCCTCTTCTCTCCGCCCTCACAGCCCTCTCTTCCCTCACCGTCCTCCCAGCCCTCCCAGCCCTCTCGCCTCTCCTCTCCATGCCCTCTCTACTCTCTCCTCTCTCCCCCCTCTCTCCCTCGTAGTTTCTTCTCTTCACCTTGACATGCACCGAACCGACCTCCCCACCCTCCCCATACCTCCCCTGCCACCTCATTCTTAGTCGTCCCTCTCCTCTCCCTCATCGCCCCCACCCTCCCCCGTATGCTTTATGAGCAGCAGCAGCAGCCCCTATCTGGACGGCCCTCACTTTAATCGCACCTGAACTCGCTCACCTCTTGCACCTCTCTCTCCCCTCCTCTCCTCCCCCCCCCCCCCAATCAGCTTCATGAGCAGCAACCCCTATCTGGACGGCCCTCTGCTAGTCACTCATCTCGTGCGCCTTTTCCTACCTCCCCTCCCCTCCTCCCCTCTTTCCGCCCCCCTCCATCAGCTTCATGAGCAGCAACCCCTACCTGGATGGCCCTCTGCCATCAGACCTGGGCAACATGGTCAGCCTCACGGACTTGTGAGTGCCCTGCATGGGAAGCAATGCCCAGATTGTCTCTTTCAGATCCCCCCCGCATGTGCAATTAACTTCAGCAC